TTCTTTTTTTTTTTTTNTTTTTTTTTTTTTTTTTTTTTTTTATTAGATTCGAATTCAAAGGTATAATAGATTACATTTTCTACTCGAAACAAAGTATGGTACCATTAGGACTTTTAGGTCCTTTAAGTGCAGACTGGTTTAAAGAACATAAAGTAGTTGGTTGTCCACATCCACATGTTCCATCTGGTAAGATTTTTTTCATAAATAATGAAAAAAATTTTTTTGTATCTTATACATAAAATGCATTTAATATCTTATCATAAGATTGAATATATTATTTATATTATATTATTTATATTAATATTTTTTTAGATCACTTTCCTTTATTAGTGGAACTTGAAATGACACCAACAGTAGGAACAAGCAATGGATTGATTTCACGCAGGTAGCAACCGCTGCGATCTAGGCCCAAGTAACTATAAGGGAATATTAAATGATAATAAAAAAGAAATCCCCATCACATTTTCTCTTACTTCTGGCTCTAGCAATATCACTCGCAGTCGACAGTTACTTCAATAGCGAATGTTACAAATACTCCATATTACCGCACATTCAACAAGTTATTAGATATTGATGAATACATAATTCTAATGACCAGGTGAAGGGAGGTGTGTTGTAATGCGTTTAGCCCATGTATAGTGTATTGCATTTTTAAGAACTTTCCCATATTAAGAGTATTTTAACCTTTACTATCATCGTAATGTAGATACCTATTTTCCTACAAAACTATATTCCGATCAAGCCTCTGTGATATTCACATTAACAATTGGAACAATTTCACATATTTATTAACAAATTAGTATCTACTAGAAAGTCCTTAATCTCTTCCTAAATGTCATTACAACATTCTCCAAGCCAACTTTTTGATAAGAATGCTGCCATCCAATGAGAAATTGTATTTTTAAACAAAACAAAAACAAAAAATATGAAAACACACTATACTGGGCTGTGCGAAGTGATTGGAGTTAACTTAACAATTTCAATGCAAGTACAAATCTGTTCTTATTGGCCACGTATATTGAGAATGATAATGTTATATAAGGAAATAGATAATATTGTAGCGAGTGTATTTGTAAGTATAATAATATAATGATGTTCATCATTCATAGTATTCTGAAAATCAGTTGACATTTACTCATTAGATATTCAGTTCCCGTTATTAATATAAATAACAATATACTAATTTACTACTTGTTAATTCAGTTGCATTTAATCCAAATAAATTTTGTATAGCAAAATTTATATTTTCTTTTGTTACTTCATATTGCATATTTTTTCTTTAAATGTATATAGAATTAAACCAATATTTTCTTTCTTTAAATTTTTAATTTATAAGCATTACAATATATATAATAAATATAATAATTTTTTACTTATTAACAATGAACCAATTAAACATTTATAATTTTTATTTAATATGATTTATGCAAAAAATATTAGTAAATAAAATTTTATTCCTTTACTTTATATACAACATTTGTTTCTGTACTGAAAGTGTACACAATATCATTTAAATAATGAATATAATTTATCATATGTATACTATATATAATTTACTATTATAATAAATTTTATTCTCTACTTTTTCTCCAAATAAATTTCTTTAAATATTTTATAAATATTTTATTAGACTTTCAATAGAAGATTTAATTAAAATTTTTTCATATCAAAATATTATATGCAATAAATAATATTATTATAAAATAAATATAGAAATTATTTTTAATTAATTATTGATCAATTATTATAAATATATATATAAAATTTTAATTTTTTCATTAAAAACAAAGCACGTATACGAAAACCATTAATTTCATACTCATTGTTAAGATTACTTGTATGTATTTATATACTTATTAATATTTATAATGACTAGTGTTCCTACACATCTTATGAACAAAACGGCACTATTAATATATTGTATAGTTTTCATAATGATAATTATCACTTATCTTCTATTAATGTTGGATAAAAATCTCAAACATCAACTGAATTATACAAGTAGTATATAATTAGTTTAACAAAGACATGTGTGTAGTAAATGTTGTATAAAGTAGATAATTACAATATAGTTTTAATTAATGAAAATAGAAGTGGCAATCTCTATTTGTATATGCATTCACAAATAAACATATGATAATTGAAAAACATACACAAAATATTTTAGGATAATTATTTATAATTTTAGGCCTGTATTACAATTTCATTTTCTTATTAAAAATGTCTTGAATTTAATTTTCTCTAAAACTTACCTTAATATTAATGAGGTAAATGATACCTGATGCTAATATTTTTTAAGACAAATTTTTTTTTAAATGTTAGTACTCACACTTTTAAACTCTGTATATTTTGTTCGATTAATGTATCATTACAATTATTATTTTTGTCAAATAATATAAAATTCTTCGTAATAAAATAAAATTTTTTTGAATGCGTATTAATTTTCAAATGATATTAAATGTTAAATCATATAATTATATTTTAATTAAAAAAATACCTGTATTTTCTATGTGAAAAAAAATCATATGATATTTTTTATGATATTTAATATTTTCAAAAAATAGACTTTTCTTAAAAGCATAATATTCAAAATATTTTATTTTAAACTATTACTTTACTGTTAATATGTTTATATATATATAGGTATTTTTTAAAATTTCTGCGTATAATTTTTAAAATATAAAATTTAAATTTCAAGATATACTTTTATATAGAGTTAATTAATATTTAATTAATATTTTAATTTGTGAATAAATACTTATATTCTATTATAGAATTATTAAAAAAAACAGAAAAATTAATAATTTATTTAAAATATCAATAAAATAGATATATAATATTTCTTTTAATGATGGTGAAAGCATTAGATAGTAAAAGCAATGAAACACACATGTTTTCATGCATTTTGGCTAATACAAAGCCTATGCCATAGTATTCAAAATAGCTGTGTTAAATAAAAGCTCAGAAAGATTTATAATTAATATCATATTTTAGTTCTTATATTTCATGTACTTTAATTGAAATACTTTGATTCTCAAGACATTTATTATTCAATATAAATCAATAAACAATAACATGCAATATAAATTAATTTAAATTAATATATAAAGAGTAAAAAAGAATATTAAACAATTAAATATAAATGTTTTATTAATTAATTCATAGCAAAATATATATAATTAATTATAAAATTTATATAATTCAAATCAATATAATTTTAAATCAATTATTTAATTAATAAACAATTGTGTAATAAATTGAGAATCAAAGTTCTTCAGTATACTAATACTATTTTTGCTGATATGCATTCATATAAATTATAATATGAACTACATTTTAAAAAATAAGCATAATGTCATTTCTTTCTTTAAAAATATATAGTTTCATTCAATATAAAAACAGCACTCTTACAAAAACCTTCGATATGTTTTAAATAGTTCGATGAATTCTTATAAAAATTTAATAGTTCATTTTTACTTGAACAATTAATATTCATAAAATGTAAGTGTTACTCTCTAATAATATTATAAAAAAAATTTATATGATGTCATATTTTATATATTACAAATATCAACAATTTTTTTAAAAATATTATATTCATGTTTAATAAATTGTAATTACTGATATATGATATACATTTGTGTATATATAAAAAAATATAATGTTTATAATTTAGTTAAATGTAATAATATTAATAATTGATACATGTGATAAAAAAATATATAAGGAGTTTAAAATTTGAAACAGTTAATAAACATTTGTATTAATTTGATTAAAAATATTTTATATTTCATTTTAATACATATGAAAACATTAATATCAAACAAAAGCCTCTCCTGTTAAAACAAAAAGTGTACAACTCTAGTCAAATAGTGATGTATTAAAATTAGATTATTTCAATACATAATCCCTTAGAATTTAGTTAATATTTGTTTATATCTATATTTGTAGAATTGATGAAATAGAAATTGATAAAAATAAATGAATCATTTACAAAATGAAATGATTATGTAAGTATGACAATAAATTGAGTACTTAGATAGAATTAAACTTTGAAATAGATAAAAATTATTTTTAATAGATAAAAATTTAAACAAACAATTCTCTTTTTTTTTTCTCATAAAATATATAATATAACTCATTTTTTTTAATTTACTTAATAATATAAATTTGTGAAATTTTGTTTTAACTAATATTCAATTGCTTTTAATGTTTAATTTTTTTTCGTGAAAAATATTGTATATTAATCACAAAGAATGTATATTTATAAAACATAATAAATTAAATAATTATATAAATTAAAAATTATTTTGATATTAATAAAAAAAATTAATCATTTTATACTTATGCAATAATTGTATCATTTTACATACATTTTACATTCCATATTCATAAAAAATATGAATAATAATATATTAATTTTATTTTAAGATACTATATTTTTTAATATAATATATTTAAGATTTTAATTAATACTCATTATGTTAGAACAGAATTTCACTGTAGTATAAAAACCATGTATTACTTCTTTATAAATTTAGAGCTTAATAAATTTTGCAACAAAAAAAAATATTTTAAATTGTTATGAATGTTAGAATTAATTAAAAAAGCATTGAATAATAAGATAAAAAATAATAAAATAATTATAATGTGAGAATTCATCGAACTAATAACTATAATATAATTTTATTTGAGTATTTAAAAATATCATATTTTTACATATAATTTAATATTATTAATTTCATAAATCTATTTAAAAATTTTGTATAAAATTGTAAAAATATTTTAGAAAATTATAAATCTCTTTATGTATGTTAATTTTTAATCTTCTGAGCTGATCTAACATAGAAAATTCAATATTAGTTTTAATTAGTTAGTAATAAGTAATAAATATTTCTATGTGATCAATATGTTAATTATCAATCTTGTATGATATGAATACAATATTTTGTTTGAAATGTTTGATACATTATCAATTATTTAATCAAGTATACGTAGTCAATGTCTTTACTTTTCTGTATTTTGTAATTTTTGACATTATATAATGTAAGGATATATAAATAAATATAAAAGAACACTATACACGCAATATTAATGGAATAATATTGCTTTTAAATTAAGTCAAAATAATGAAATATAGATTTCAAATTATAACATTATAATAATATTTAATAATAATAATTTATGTATTATCAGAGTATAGTATATAATATTATCTATTTATTAATATACATATACATAAATAGTTTAATACATTCATGATTATATACATATGTATACATACATACAATATAACATAACATTTAAAAATATATTTGCATTTAGTAATTATACAGTATACTAAACACCAAAATCATTTTTAATAAGGCATTTTAGTAATTATTTATTTATAAAAAAATATTATATTATATACTTCTTTATTTTCATATAAATGATATTAAAATTGATATTAATATCTTGAAATATTTAATAAATATTTTATAATCAATTGAATCAATTATGAAACAATATTATTAAATCAATTAAAATCAATTATATTACAATTACAATTTGCATATTTATAGACATTATTTATATATAACAAGGTACAACTGAATAAAAATATAGAATAAAATTTTATACAAGGTTTTATTTTTGAAAAAATAGTTTTTAAATTCTATATAGTAAATATATATTTAATTATATTTCGACATAATTTATAATTTTATAATAAGGATAAAGGATTTCATTTTACATTATTATTGTTATTCTATTTATTATATTTTATATATAATAAAATATATATAATGAAACAAGATATTCATAAATATATAATGAAAGAAATATATTTTAAAATATATTAAAAATATTTATCCTGTTGAATTTTGCTTGTATTAAAAATTTTTTTTAACTACATATTACAATTATTAAATATAAATATCAAAATTAAATATTAATATATCAAACAAATACATAATATTAATCTTTTGAAAATAATACCTTGTATAAAAAATTTTATTCTATGTTTGAATATAGATTTTAATGTAGAATTATTGATTT